CCGCAGGACCTAACAAAAAATTTTATAATCACCGATGACCGATGTTGCAACGCCTACCGATGCCGCCTCTCCCCCAAAGAAAGAGACTGTGGAAAAGTGAAAACCAGAAAACATTTTCTAGTTAAGTCATGTCAGGGACCTTTTTTTTTAGATACGCTCGCTTAGCGCAGGCAGCGAGATAATCTCAACTCAATTTGCTGTCCTCTCAGGCTCAAGGATCGCCTGGTCCTGTGGGCGCCTAACATCAAAACATCGATTCCGTGGAAACCTCGAGAGCGGGTCAAGTGCCTCGATTATTTATGTTATGGCCCCCGATCAAAATTAGAACGATCTCAGGTTACCACCTCGCACTCCTTGAGAATCCCAAAGGACACCATATAACATATAGAAAGTATCCTGTAGTATCTGAAGCGTGCCCAGAAGTCCAAGACTTGCCTAAAGTCGAGTATGTGTGACAACACTTTGGGTTATGTTCCACTTGGAACTCTGTATGATCTTCTGGGTTTTTTTTTTGGGGTTGCACAACCTGAAGTGTCCTTACAAGGATCTCCTTCTCTCCTCCTGTGGTGTCGTTTGGCCACAAATTCTGGGAACTTGGCAACCTCGGAATCTTATGTTTTGTGCCGCTGCCTCTTAAGTGGCCACTTGTTCGCGTTGTGACTTTATTATATATTCCTCTCCAGAGATGTGATTTCATAATTTGTTTAATTTGTGTTTTCTGACAGGTTTCCAATCACTTTCACTGGCCGAGAGTTGCTAGATATAGCAAATAGGTTAACTATAATCCAATTAAGGCGATCGAAGATGGATCTTATTTCTAAGAGAGTAATTTTTTATAACGAATTTGTGGCTGAGAAAATTGGGATTAAAATAAATTACAAACTAGGTATGCTTGGAAAATATCGATATATTAATATTACATCTATATTTAATAAGAAAAGCGATATATATAAAAAAAATATATGTATATATTAATAAATAAATATATTTAAAAACATTGAAAAGTATGTAAGATTGATAAATCTCCTAATGATTCTATTTAGTAGAATATCGGATCATTATAATCCGAAAATTGTTTTCGATTATATCGATATTTAATATGAAATAAAAAACTTTCGGATTAAGGATTTAATTTTGGATTTAAGGATTATTTTAAATTCAATATCAAGCACGTCAGTTAAATTTACTATATCTTATTTCATTCAAAATATCAATATATCAATACTGCCTTTATATTTGGCTCAAAAAGTCGGTTAATTAATTAATCTTTTAAAGTTTCGGTATATGTACGTTTAATAAATCGATATTCTTTTTGAAAAATGCAGTAAATATATTATAAAAAAAATTCTACTTTAATTGGATTTAATTTAATCGATTTAAACCAAATGTCATCAGTAAATGCAATATATTTCCATATTTAAAATTGAATGTATCAAGATTATTGATATTTTCAAAGAAATATGAAGTTAGAAAGATATTTGTTTTTGTTGATGAATTAAATTAATTAAATTAAGTAAATTTTTCTCTGTTAAAAACAACAACCCGTCTAAATAGTTTAACTACTTTTTTTTAGTTATTACTTTATTTTTCTAGTCCTACGTATATTTTATGCAATATAACTAAATAAATTAGCTAGATTTTATACAATTTTTAGACCTTTTAATGTATTCTATAATCAAACAAATGCAATTCTAACAATTCAAGAAACTTTCTATTAATAAACCTCGAAGGATATACAAATAATTAATCCCGAATTCAAATGTTATATTTTTAGTAACCCATCATTTATTTTCTGAACAAGTTTTAGTTTGAATTTTTTTATATTTTATATTTCTTTATATTTTATTATATTTATTTATCCTTTCAGCTCCACATAGATTAGTCATTATTGAATTAAATACAACAAATATATGTAAACCGACTCACCTTGCTCAGTGTTAATATAAATCTGGGGAAATCTATAAACAAAATCTTTTAAAGAAAAAGACCTCCCCCCAAAAAAAACCACATCATCTAATATAATATTACCAACGACTGCGTGTAACCCATACTTAAAATTACACTTTCGCCCCGAACAAGTCTTTGGGCCATTAAACTGACCAAAACAGAAAAGACAACAACGAATACGAATATGAATACGAATATGAATACCTTATGTTCGAGTTAACTCCTCTACGCAATAAAGGAGAGACTTTGAGAGACTCAAAGAAAAAATTAACAAATCATAACATCATCATTTATCATCATTAACGCTGCAAGATTTTTATTTTGTTTTTTGTATCTCTTGTTGTACTTTTTACTTTGGATTTTTCCCCTTTTCTCGCCGCTGACCGCAGACTTTTAGTTATAAATCAATCAGATTTTGTTTGCCATTTAGTGGAGTCCCCCCAAAAAATATATGTTCATGAAAAAAAAAGGGAAAAAGGTTTAGCGGGCAACACGGCGTATGATTAACGTGCGTGTGAAGTTGTCGGGCGGCCCCATCACACCCATCCCCAAAAATGTATAGCCATGGATCATGGATATGGATATGGATATGGTTATGGGGACTAAGACTAGGGAGTCATCTCCACCAATCCGCTGAGGTTGTCAACCGCTTGCACAACAATCCCATAGGTGGACTCCAAAATGGTGAACTGGGCGTGGGGGACTCTCTTCCAGGGGCTTGGCGCTCACTCAACTTGAAAATTGATTGATGCCAGGGGCAGGGCAGACGCAAAGAGACCGGCATAAATCAATATTTTATATTGGACGCAATCGATCTGCGATCCATGCCATATCGGCATATCTCTTGCATCGTATTGCCAATCTTCACGCCATCATCATCATCGAAAAAAAATTACAAAAAAAAAGGTTTCCCGTTTAATTACAGAACAGCTCTCTGGGTTTGGGAAAAAGGGGAATAAGGGGGAAAAAAGAGTGGAAAATGGAGGCTAGGAGGTTGGCCAAGGCTAGCAAATTGACTCCCCATTGATTGTCTCAGATTGAATATGGCCAAGAGCCTTGAGTTATGGATACTTTTTGGCTTAAGGTAGAGAGGTTTATAAAAGGAAAGTGGAGATTAAATTAAATTGAATAAATTCAAGATGTTTAGGGTGTAGATTCAGATTAAGATATAAGATAAGATGTATATCTATAAATATATAAATTTAAAATCATAGAAATAATATAGTATTTAATATTGTACAGTAGTACTATATATAGTTTTTATTATATTATAAATATATAAAATAAAATATTAATAAATAAAGTTTAAAAGTAGTAGAAGCAAAAAGCTTCTCCCTAAGATTCTTAAACATAAGCTTAACCCATAATGTTTACCTTGAAGCACCTTAAAATTCTCAAGTCTGAATTCGGAGACACTAAGGCAAGGAGTTTAATCGTAGAAAAATGTTCACTCAAAAGATCAAAAATTAAATATCAATTGAAATGCAGAGTCTTCACGATTCTTGCTATATAATGATAGATATATAGATTGATATACATATAACATACTCTAGACTTTAATTATATTAAAATACATACACTATATACATAAAATACAATCCTTGCTATATAATATTCTTTGTATGATATTAAAACATAGTCTAGTCCAAAATTTTAAATATATATGTACATATATATAAATATGAAATATAAAGTTTAGCTTCTAGATAGCAAACAATTATCTACAATTAAAAGTCTTTCATTTTCTATTATCTTAAATAATAATAAATGTCCTAAATTTAAACAAAATTTAACTAAACAAAAATATAACAATGCATATTATATAGAAATTATTTATCCCCTAATCAAACTTTATAAAAATATGCACTTTTGAAACCACTTTCACATATGTACATATATAGAGAGTAAATTGTATATATAGTTGATTTTGACAAAAATCACCTTTATTTACGTTTTCTAAAAACCCTACAAAATAAATGTATTTCAAATAAATTTGAAATCCAGCTAGTTATTTAAAAAGTACCCTTTTTTAAGCTCTGAAAACTTTAATCTAAATGAAATAAAATATAACCCAAACTCTGAAAACCTTTAATCTAAATATAATAAGATATAAACCAAGGTCCTTGGAACTTGGTTTTGATTCGGAATAAAATATAACCCAAGCTCTTGAAACCTTTAATCTAAATATAATAAAATATAAACCAAGGTCCTTGGAACTTGGTTTTGATTCGTTAAAAAAGAGAAAAGTTTCCCTTTTATCAACCCTTTTAGGGATCGAAGCACCCAAAGCAGATCAAATTCGCCGGAAGTTGCCAAGCTTCCTGAGTCCTTAGATCCTTGGGATCCCTTTTTTCCCATTTTTTTATTTTTGCAGAAGCCTGGGAAACCCACCCCTAAGGGAAGAGATCACAACAACCCTAAAAACCCAAAATAAGAACCATGGCACCCTTGATATACATAAAGAAATATTAAAACTGGAATTGCTTTTTGTTTTTCGATATAATTTTGTTCGTTTTTTGTTTTTTTTATTGTTAGGATTTTTGTATTTGTGGATTTTTGTTGCCTTGTTGTTTTGTAATGATTTTTTTGTTGTATATATAATTTATCTTAAAGACAATTAACAATTATTATGGTACACAACTAGATGGTTTCTCTTTCAATCTTTATGTATATATATATTTTATGGCTTAAATAATGCTATTTATTTATGTACAGACATGCAAAAAAAATTCCTTAACTAGAGGGCTTCAAAAAAAAAAAGAAAAAATTGGAAAAAAATTCAAGTCCTTAGAGCTAAGTTTATAGTTAATATATTATAATATTTAATGTAGGTTTTTTTGTATATATATCTTGCTTTTCTTTCTTTTTTTGGGGGATTTTCACATTATTTTGTTTTTATATTTTATCAACAATAAACACAGAAAAAAAACACACGCACGCACACACTAGAGGTTCGTTCTACGCTGGCTTTACCGCCTGTCCTGGAAGGACTTTATGGCCTTTTGTTTATATCCTTAAACTGTAAAAACAACTGGTTCCTGCAACACCATCCTCTAGGCGGTGGCATGCGGATGATAGGCCGCTGCCCAGGCATTGTGATGATGCGGATGCGGATGCGGATACCCGTAGCCGGCGGTACTTGCACCAAACTCCGGCGGATAACTTGCCGCATATTCGGATTTCATGTGGCAACTGGAGCTAGAGTCCTGACTCGCTCCACTGGCCAGACCGCTCATGGTCAGACCGTATTCCGCCGCCAGTTGGGATTCACTTTGCATGGCCAGAGCGGCATAATGATGCTGGGCCAGCACGGTGGCGGATGCCGAGGGTGAGGAAGCTGATCCGGAACTGGAGCGGGTTACAGCGGCTGCTGCTGCTGCTGCTGCTGCTGCAGTGGCTGCTGCGGCGGCTGTGGCAGCTGCAGTTGCAGCAGCAGAAGCAGCAGCGGCGGCGGCGGAAGGTGAACTGGCGCTGGAGGACACGCCGGAGGAATTCGCTGAGGTAGTGACTGGCTGTATGGCACGGCTGCTCCATGGTTCATAGCTGGAAATTTGCTGGGCAGCCTGCTGCTGCTGCTGCTGCTGTTGCTGCTGCTGTTGCTGCTGTTGCTGTTGCTGCTGGAAGAGCGGTGGTGGCGGTGGCGGTGGATTCGCCGCCGCTGCCGCCTGCTGATAGAGATTGGCATATGGTGTGTAGTTGACCAGAGGAGCAACTTGCTCCGGCTGCTCCTGCTTGAACTCAATGGGTGAGGGAGCCAGCGATTTACTGGATTTCTTATCCTTCTTCTCCTGCTTGATGGCCGCCGCTGCCTGCTCCTTGGCCTCCGCCGCCAGGGCCTTCTTGCTCTTCTTATCCTTGAAATGGGTCTTCTTGTGCTTGCTCAGGTGATCGCTGCGGGAGAACTTCTTGGAGCAGATGGGACAGGCATAGGGCCGGTAGTTGGTGTGCGTCCTTCCGTGCCGCTGCAGCTCATCGGAGCGGGAGAATCGCTTGCCACAGGTGAGGCAGAGGAACGGTCGCTCGCCCGTGTGCCACCGCAGGTGAGTCTTCAAGTGCGAGGCCTTTCCGTACAACCGTTCGCAGCCGGGAATGTGGCAAATGTGCTGCTTCCGACCCCGCTCATCGGGACCCACAATCGGGGGCAGGCCGCTCATCTCGTTGGTGCAATTGGGGCATGTGCAACGCACAGACCGGCGCTGCAATTGCGTCTGGAAGGCAATGTCATCGAAATTGAAGCCCGGATAACTCTGCGAACTCCAGGGCTGGTACAAACGCTCCTGGTGGGAGAACCAGGCGGCGGAGGAGGACATGCCCACGGCATTGCCATAATAATCGGAGGCATATTGAGCGTATGGGAACTGGCTTCTGGAAGGAGCAAATTAAATGAATATAAATTGATTAGTTTAAGTGAATAATATCATTAAATCATATGGGTTTCTAAGTAATTATAATGTTAATATGATAACATTAACTAATCAAGTTGTTTGTTTTATTCCTATTATTAGCAAGTATTTAAGACTTTTAATTTGCATCTTAAGATCGTTATAAAGCTTTATTAAGCCTATAGCTTGTTCTTTATGCTGATCTATAAAAAAAAAACATACTATAACCTGTACTTAAATCAAATTAAATTGTAAATTAACCATTAACTCAGGTGTTCTTGAATGAAATTTATTACTTGTAAAGCTCAATTGTAATATTTATATTCGAGATCAAGTCTTATCTTTGGAGATTAATAATTAATGAAGCTGTAAGCCAGGAATTAAGATGTAAACTTGATTTCTTGTAAAGTTTTTTAAGCCATATTTAATAAATATGTTCCTTTTTGTATCCTTTAATTGTAAGGTTTTCGGTAAAGCGAGGTTTTTAAGTTTGTAGATTGTCTTGAAAGTGTTTTTTTATGATAATATTTAAATGTTTGTTTTAATAATTATGAAAAAAGATAAGGTCTAGTGTCATTTTAAGATGTTTAAATGCTTTTGAAACTGTAATAAATATTTCCTTTTATCTATTTTTATATTTTTAAGGGTTTTTTAACTAGTTTCTTCTTTAAGATATATATTTAAATATTTTCCAAGATATTTACCTTGCCGGTCCTAGTCCAGAGTATGCGGTATTCCATCCATAGGCGGCACTGGCCACCGCTGCTGCTCCCAAATCCGCTGCTGCCGCTGCTGCTGCTGCCGCCGCCGCTGCTGCCGATGCAGCGGACGTGGGCGATGAGGCCGAGGATGAGGATGACGCGGATGATGATGAGGATGAAGTGGCCACCGGTCCACTTGCGCCCGCACCTGAACCCGCTCCCGTTGGTGCCGCCATGGCGGACGTTGTGGGTGTCGTGGGACTGGCGGAAATGGAGGCAAAGGATTGCGCGGGCGAGGGGAAGATGCTGGGCGAAACGGAGGCGGATGAGGGCGCCGACTGAATGCTGGAGTTGGGTGAGGCAGTGCCCGTGGAGGAAGCCTGCGGATAGGTTAATTCCAGCTTCATGGGAGCCTTGCCCGGGGCCACTGCGGATGCGGATCCGGAGCCATAAAGCGGAGAGCTGCCGGAACTGCTGCTGGAGCTGCTGCCGGAGAGGGATGGTGGGGCGGAGAGCAGGGCGGCGCTGAGGAAGTCATGTGGCTGAGGGGGCTGCTGTGACTGCTCCTGTGCTTGCTGCTGCTGCTGCTGTTGCTGCTGCTGTTGCTGCTGCTGCATGTGATGTTGCTGCAAGTGGAGATGATGTTGCTGCTGCTGTTGCTGCTGGTGATGATGGTGATGATGCTGCATGTGCAGGTGCTGTTGCTGTTGCTGCTGCTGCATGGTGAGCTGCTGCTGCTGTTGCGCTTGCTGTTGCTGCTGCTGCTGATGCGCGTACGGATTTAGATTCAAATAATTGCACGCCGCATCGATCATGATGAAAGCTTTACGGGTTTCAAGTTGCTGCGGAGTTTACTGTTGCTGCTGCTACGTTGTTGCTGCTGTGCGTAATGCGCTTGTATGTGTGTGCTGCTGCTTTCGTTAACAATTTTCGCACATTGCTCGCACTTATTGATACTGCTCTCGTGTAATTATGGCACGCTTTTCACTTTAGTTTTGTAATTATAGTCTTTTGCGGCTGCCTGGTAATTGCATGCACGCGAAACAACGACAAGAACACGGCAAAAAAAAAACAACAGAACAACACAAACAAATTAAAGGCCGCCGAAAATTCGCCAATATAAACGCTTAACTTCGTATACACATGCGTGTGTGTGTTTGTGTGTATGCGCGCTGTTACGTTACGTTACGTTACGTTACGCACATGTATGCACATATATATAGAGAGATATATAGAGTTCCGAAAACAGAGACCTCGTTCCTCTGCTGCGGCTGATTCTTGCTGCTGCTGCTGCGCGTGATGTGATACAACCACCGGTAATTATCGTCAATTCTTGACTGAATTCCGAAACGCTGCGAGAGGCTCTAACAACGTACGAACCGAATCACTGACGACGACGGCAGCGGCGAGGGCAGCGGGCAGCGGCCGTGGCAGCGCTAGCGCAACTCTCGTGCTGGCCCGCTCTCGCTAACGGTTGGCTAGGCCGTTGCCGGCTCTTTTGGCTAATGTGTTTGCTCTCGCTCGCGCTCTGCCATGGTGGTTGTTTTTGTCTTTTAGCTTGAGGGCATCTCGTTTCGTCTCGCTCGCACGCCCACGCCATATCGCGCCTGCCGGGGCTCCTTTCGGCAGCTCTCGCTCTCTCTCTCTCTCTCTCGTTCTCCGTCGCTCTGTCTCTCTTGTTCGCTCGCTCGCTCTCAGTGAGTTGGTCTAGCTACTGCTACTCTCTCTCCTCCTGGCCGCTGGCTTGTTATTGTTGTTATTGTTGCCTTGCTCTGCTGCTGTTGCTGCCGCGGGCGTTTTGTTTTAATTTCTATGTGTGGGTTTGTGTGTCAAAGCAATTGGGTGAGCATGTGTTTGTGTAGTTGTAGTTGTTGTTCTTGTTCTTAGTGTTGTTGTTGTTGTTTTGAGTCTCCGTGTGTTGCTCCTGTTGCAATTGTTGTTGCTGGACTTTAAGGCACAACAAGCTAAGCAGCTTAGTATTGTGAAAACTGTAAAACATAAATTAAATAACTAAGATTTTTGTTTTAATATTAGCATGAATTTTAAATAATATATTTTTATTATTCAAAAATAATTAAAAATTTTAATCTTCAAAAAACGTAGGCCAAAAAATACAGAATAAAACAACTTAACTAGCAATAAACATATAAAGTTCATAAATACTTAGAAAGTAAAATAAGAAAATAAACAATTCTATTAATATTTTAGAATTATATTTAAAAAGCAATTTCAAAATTATTTGATCGATTTTTTACAAAAAATAATATAGTTTTTACATGTTTACATGTTTAAGCTTATAAACATACCAAATCAATATCTAACATATATTTCCAAAAGTTAATAAATTGTTTTTAATAAAAAGAAATATTTTTATATAAATTTAAAAGATTGGCAAACATTTTCCAACAAAAATAAACAAGTATCAACATGTTTAATGCGTTACTTTCATTTTCCCCCAGACCCTTACAATTCCCCTAATTTCTTTTCACTTTATCTATTTTTCAATAGATTTTGACAGCTATAAATCAGTTTAGTTTTTACAAAAAAGAAAAAAATGAAAGAAAAAATAAGCAACCATTATTTATACATACGAATATCTGCTTAAATTCCCATTATCCCCCCCCACCCTCCTAACATGCCCTTCAATTTGTTTTCGACGAAAGTAGGAATGAAAAGAGAGAGCAACGAGCGAGTGAGTATGGCTCATCATTTTAATTAAATTAAAATTTCTGTTTAATGGCATTTAATTTTTCATTTTACACCCAACCAAAAAAAAAAAAAAACCCACCAAAAAAAAAACGAAACGAAAGAAACAAGAAAGCGAAGCTAAAAAGAAGAAGAAAAAGCGGGCATAATTCAAATATCAATACAATAACAATAAAAACTAATAAATTTGTGGTCGCGGCCCAATGAAATAACTGTATTTAAAGGGGCGTTAACCAAACACCACCACAAGGGAGTCAGCAAGGGCGAGGGAGAGCTGTTAGTATCTCGCTCTCTCTTTCGCTCTTTCTCTCTCTCTAACTCTGGCTCTCACTCACTCTCCTTGTGTGTGTGTGCGTGTGTGTGTGTGCCCATGGTGCGCCTGTGTGCTGCATATTAATCACAATTGCTGTGTTGAGTCTCTCGCTGCTCCCTTTTTATTATGCGGCGTCTTTTTTATTACGCATACGCAACGTGGGCCCAGGCCACAAATTTTACGATTTGCTGCTGCTGTGAAAAGATAATGATGATTCCCAAAACGAAACCAGAGCCTTCTTGCAGAACTGATCGACCCCAAAGGCACCCTTTAGATTGTAACAAGGAAACTGTCTTAAAAATATTTGATTAAGCATTTTAAAGTACTTTCCATTAATATAAAAATTGGTATACGAATCAATAATGATTAGAACTAATCACATACCAAAAGGTTCGGGTATCCTGGTATTTTTAGTAGCCCCGAAAAAACTTTATCCTTAGGGTAACTTTTAAATATCCAGCAAATTTAATCAGATGTGTCTGAAAATTGGTATAAGAATCAGAACCCTTTAGATTGAAAACATTTTAATATATATTCGTTTGTAGTATTTTCTATTAATATTAAAATTGGTATACGAATCAATAATGATTAGAACTATTCACATACCAAAAGGTTCGGGTATCCTGGTATTTTTAGTAGCCCCAAGCAAACTTTATCCTTAGGGTAACTTTTAAATATCCAGCAAATTTAATCAGATTTGTCTGAAAATTGGTATAAGATTCAATATTAATTAAACCTTCTCGCATCCCAAAAGGTTCGGTTATTCAAGCATATTTTTAATGCCAAATGGACTTGAACCTTCGGGGGCCTATTTCATATCCCGCATATTTCATTCGATTTGTCTAAAAATTGGTATACAAGTCTGAAATGATAACACCTTCACACATACCAAAAGATTCGGTTATCATACCTTATTTCTTATGACAAATTTCCTTTTTTTGGCTGTCTATTATCCTAATATTTTATCCGATTTGCCTGAAAATTGGTATATAAATTTATAATGAGTATACCATACCAATGCATATACCAAAAGGTTCGGTTATCTCAGCATCTTATCCTAGAGAATCTCTAAAGTCTAGCTCTTTTATAATTAGTATATTTTATAAATAAAACCATCCTTATTATTATTTATTAAATTTATCAAAAAGAATAAAATCTTAGCTGAAAGACCCGAGATCGATCATAGCCCCCCTTTAGGTGGAAAGATTTTGCAGGGTATGCAACTGTGGAGATTCTTTCTCTGGGCAACATGTAATGAAACGGAAGATACAATTATATTGAGGCAGCCAAGCCCAGAGCAACAACAAGGAGCCTGTCTCGTGCTCCTGTCCCTCCTTCGTTATCCTTCTTCCTGCTTCCCTTCCCCTTTTTTACTGCCCGCCGGTGCCTCAATTCCTCCGGCTCCTTTTGGCTACCGAAAGATTTATGACAATGCCAAAGTCAACTAGACTTGAAGACCGTCTGCCTGAGCCTTCCCCTTCCCTCCAGCCAGCTGGCTCCTTTCTTCCTTCATTCCCGCCTCCCTCCTGCAGGAGTCCTTGTCCTTGTTCTTGTCCTTGGGCCACAGCGTCGCCGCATAATCAATTAGCAAAAAGTCGGCAAAGGAAAGTTCCTACTGTCTCTATCTACCGCCGCCCCCAAAAGCCGACCACGCCCTCTTTTTTGTATCAGTAGGTCAAGTGAAGTTTTGTGTGTGTGTGAGTGTGTGTAAAGGTGGGTTTCCCTATGTAATTTGTGAGTTTTTAGAACTTTCCAGAGACAACTTTAGCGAAAGTTTGGAGCCTTTCTTAGAGGTCGAAAATCATGGAAAACCCTCCAAGATATATCTTACGATCTCGAAAAGTTAAGGGATTTGGAATAATATTAATAAAAATACTAGATTTGCTTTAATTATTTATTTTTGAGTTTAATAAATCATTATTTTCAGCATTTTAAGAGGTTTTTGTGCATTGAAAAAGTTTACAGAACCCCCCTTATTTACCCCCTTTATTAATCCTTAAATTATATACCTCTCCTATCAGTGTTAATGATTTCCCATCCATAAATCTATCCAAATATTGTGCAAAACTGGTCTTAATCTATTAAAAGGAAGCGATTTCCTATCTGAGACTTGGATCGATCCCTAAAATCCCGTCTAAAACCCACAACACTCGACCCTCGCACAATCCTTTCCCAGCCAGCCCCAAATCAATATCTCTATATATATATATATATATATATGTATATATATTAGTCACTTCGATCCGTTGCGTTAATCAATTGATTAGCCGGGACGAGCCCACCAAACAAGGACGAGATCAGCGACAGCAGGTAGCAAGGACCTAAGCCTCAGAGTTAAGCCGGAAAAGTTTTGACTTTGCCGCATCAAAGCTCCCTCTCATCCGCGGGATTTCTCGCTGGATCGATGGATAATCCTGGAACCAGATCTTTGGCGATCCGAAAGGATTACCATGTATGTTTTGCTACCTAGCCCCCGACTCGGTTACGCCTGAATCGTAATTATTGATTTCCCTTTTTCGACAGATTAATGCGACAAGTACACTCAGCGAAAGATGAAGTAGTTTTCTTTACAAATTTTTGAGGAATGTGAATAGTTAAGGTTAGTTTAGAGAAGTATAAATTAATGGTTGGAATATAAGATATGGTTTTAAAATAAATAACAGACTTGATAAACGGAAGAACCTTAAGATTCATGGAGGGTAAATATATTTATTTATAAGTTATTAGAAAACATTTTTGTTTATTTTTATATACCTATTATAAATAATTAGAAAGTATTTTTGTATATTTTTATAT